TTTTCTTCGGGGCAATTCATTATGATTTGTTCCGCTCCCATTTGCTTCGCCCACGTTTCATATTCTTTTTTGTCTGGTGATTTCACCACAATCATGCCCCATCCCCTGGGAGGCAAACCAGTAGACGGTTCATGACCCCTCATTGCCACGTCGTAGATTATATACCCTTTCGCCCCACGCCGAGAGAAACTGCCCAAAACATCCACGATATTAGACGCCTCACTGTATTTTTTCACCGTTTTGGCGGTCTTGTCAAATAGGAATTTTCAACCCGCAATAACGTACGCAACCACCTGGAGTTTCTCCACATCATAGTGCAGCAGCTGGTAGAGGAGGTACGAACCGGCAGCCATCGATTTCCCAATCCCGGGCGTCCCAATCAACACACGCTGCTTGGGCGTAAAGTGCTCCTCAGGAAGACTGTTGAACCACTCGGTGAGATCGCCCTTGACGATCTGCCACAATCGCTCCACCTCACAGTTCACATAGCAGTCACGAGTGGATTTATTCATCCTCCTTCCATTTCCACGAGCACGGCCATCCCTTGTCCGAGGTGAGCACCATCAGCCTGAGGTGCTGCACCGAATTGCTGCGCAGCGTTATTCTTTTCGAGAGTCACGCCAACTGCCCTGTACGTCCATGAATGCTGTGGTTCCCCCTCATGCACTTCCATTCCCGTCCCCTCGCCGCCAGGAACTTCCACCAAATGGCTCCACCTCGCATTGTACACAGACTCGTAGCATCCCTCCAGGTACCTCGGTGCGTTCGACTTCTTTGGGTTCCTCGCTTCCTCGGCGGCTGCATCCAAAAACCTTTTATTGATTTCATGAACACTTGCCGTTACCTCCGCAGCAGCCACCAACCAATTCAGTAGATTGTCCACACCTTTTTTGTGAAGGTTGTTTATATCCTCTTCCATATCCATTTCATCCCTTACAGCCCTCTCCATCATCACATAAAGATCGGATGCCTGCATTTCCCCCAATACTCCCGCATCGCAAATATGCTTCTTGGGGTCCTTAAAAAACCCCTCCCGCAAGACATTCCGATTGGCGTCCACAAAGCCCCTGCCATCAAATCTCCTATTAAGAAGCTCATTCAGCTTTCTGTCCATGACACAAACTTTTCGTTTAAAAAGTACATCTTCAATCTTAGTTACAAGGGTGAATTTTCTTCGCTGCTCCGAGTATCCGTCTGGTATTTCAAGAGCTGAATCAAGTTTTTGCATTGCCCGGAAATTGATCGTATCCCTCCTCTCATAGTCCCTCCATTGATGAAGAGAGAACACACCCTCGTGAAGAAGTTTGTACACCTGGTAGTCGGTCAAATTAAGAATTCCCTCAAGAAGCTGCTGGTCATTTACGTAAGCATCGAGTCTCCTAATAAACGTCTCCCTCGTCGCATTGTAGTCTTTCATCAACGGTTGCCATGGAGCCAATACAATTCCAAAAAAATGATTAAGCTTCAAGCTGGTGCTGAGAGTATCTCCGTCTAGCATTAGATCTTCCACCAGACTGTCAAGAGTCCACGGCGGTCACTCTTTACTCCCCACCAAATGTCGACCTTTAGCGTCGGAGCCAACACAGGTGCCGCTGGCTCCAAAGGACACTGGCGGCTGTCTCCTCCCGCAGTCCCAACGGCATTGGGCGTGGCACTCGCACGGCGGGGCTGTCGGTGCGCCATGCAGCCGCACTGCAACGCCTGTCGGTGAAACAGTCAAGGCCCACCGCCCCCGCAGCAACGCGACGTGCAATCGGCCACAACACCGCCACATTATCGTCCTTTTTTATTTTATTTTATTCACGTTGTCTGTCCGTTTGCCATACCACTAACACCAAAAATAGCTGCACAACTTCACAGAGGAAAGAATCTTCTGGGTCGCTGGCCGGATCCTGTAATTACCCAAAAAGAAAAAAGGAAAAAAGCGGTAAATGAAGAGGTAGTGGGTTCTCCGTAATGTTTGCCCCAATGTGTCTATGTATATACATTCTGCTAATCACTGCCGTGGAATTCTGCGCACAGTTAGAATTAGAAACAATTATCCCCTGCGAAGTGGCAGGCCTTTGGGGCTCCTCCAGCCACAAGAAAACGCCGCAAGTTGGGGATCACAAAGTGGGTGGTTGTGAAGATAAAAAATAAAAATAAAAAAAATAATAATTTCGTCTGGCAGCTGTCGGCTCCCTGACTCCCTCAATCGCGGTCTCCCAAAAGACAGTGCGATAGAAGAGGAAAAAGTTGTGAAGAGATATCTTCGTTTTTGCGAGATATGAATTTATTTGGGCAGCCGGCCATCTTCTCAAGCATTCTTTTCACAAAATCCCATGAAAATAAAGAAAAATTCTCCGGCCCCTATAGTGCGCAACAGCCTCTAGTGACGATGCGCCTCTGGTGGAAAAAATAAAATAAAATCAAAAAAGGCTGTGGTGAGTGTGACACCGCTGATCACAACGGTTCTCTGAAAAGAAAGGCATTCACTGTCCAGACCTCGTAGGCACACACATATAAAAATCGTTAAAATACTTCCTAATATATTTCACCAAAACAAAATGCACTTTGTTACTACTTATTTTTTTCATTTTTATTGCCCTTTTTATCCCCCTCGGGTAGATCATCATCAGAGAATTTGATTTCCTCAGGAAATTTACCTTTTAACATAACCTGGTATTGGTGTACCTTTCCTTCCCAGAAAGTCACAATTTTTTTTTCAGCGTCGGTTTTATTCCTGGAATTGACGTAATCACATCTCTGCCATTTTTCCATCGGCTTGCTGTCTGCGTGCTGTATATAAATAATATCCCACGACAATCCTTGAGCAAATCTCTCCCAACCATCAAAATATTTCGACAGGTGCTCAGTGAACAGATTCACAGTGCTGGTTATCGTGTGATGCGCACTCGCCGTCGTCATCTGCAGCCCAACCAGCGTCTTCCGCGGCGAATCAACAAAGAAAAAGCCGTCCACCAGCGGAAAGTTTGGGAACGTCGGTATGTACAGCACCCGATACTTTAATGTTTCCGGGCCATCAATGAACTTCAGTTCAGTTATTGCAGCTGCCTCGGTGGGGTAGCCATGAGGGTTTAACGTTAGCACCGAGGACCGTGTTTCGGAAGGTGATGGTGGCTTCAGCTCCTTGAGATCCTTCACTATGGAAGTGACAAACTCCACACTCAAGAATACGTTCAAAGCATACTTTTCCAAAGCTTCAGATTGAAGAACATTCTTCATTCCCAATACGAGAAAAAAAATATCATGCGGACTCAGCACCTTTGCCAAACGAGATAATGTTAAAACCCCAAGATAAGTACATATAGGTGCATTACTGAAGTCCTCAAATGCGTTTTTTTCTCTTACTCGAACAATCTTCACAAGTTTGTGAGACGGATCCTCGGAATACCATTTTTTCTCTCCTCCCTGTGTAAAGTACTTTCCTTGATCCCCAATATTGATCCATCTCAAGGCCCTCGTAACATCCTTCGTGCGTTTTTCATATTCAACCGCATCGAAGATGTAACGTGGAATCGGTCCCAAAAAATACATGTGTTTTTTGACCTCTTTCCAGTATCCCGCTTGCTCATCTGGTTTCAGACCTCGCTTCATCCACGCACACATCGCCTTCACATCCATCTCGTCAGGGCAATTCATGATGATTCGACTGGCTTGTAGTTGCTTCTCCCACTCATCATAGTTGCTTACCTTTGGCGATGACACCACAATCATGCCCCATCCGGTAGTGGGCAAAAAATGTCTCAGTGGTGGCGTTCCTTTCTTTGCCACATCGTAAATAATATACCCTTTCATCCCACGCTTCCTCAAACTTCTCAAGGCCGTGATGCATTGGTCCTCATCGCTGTATCTTGTCACGATTTTGGCGGTCTTGTCAAACACGTAAGCATCACGTCCACCAAAACAGTGAACAACCACTTGGAGCTTCTCCACATCGCAGTGCAGCAGCTGGTAGAGGAGGTACGAGCCGGCAGCCACCGACTTCCCGATCCCGGGCGTCCCAATCAACAGACGCCGCACGGGTGAAGAACTGAGAGTCAAGTCAGAGTTGCTGAACCACTCAGTGAGATCATTCCTGACGATCCGCCACACTCGCTCCACCTCACAGTTTACAAAAAAGTCCTCCGAAGAATTCTGTGTCATATTCCACGAGTACGGCCATCCCTTGTCCGAGGTGAGCACCATCAGCCTGGGACGCGGTGCATCGGACTGCTCCACACCGTCATCCTTTTCGAGGGTGTCACCAAATTTCTTGTACGTCCATGACTGTTCTGGTTTCCCCTCCCTCACTTCCAGTCCGGTCCCATCGCCGTCGGGAATTTCCACCACATGGCTCCACCTCGCATTGTACACAGACTCGTAGTATCCCTCCAGTTTCTCCGATGCGCCCGTCGTCGTTGGGTCCCTCAATTCCACGAGGGCTGCATCTAAAAACTCGTTAGTGATGTCATGAACACCTGCCTTTACCTCCGCAGCAGCTTCTGACCATTTCAGTAGAGTGCGCACGCCATTTTTGTAAAGCTTCTTTATATCTTCTTCCATATCCATTTCATCCCTTACAACCCCCTCCATCCTCGCATAAGCATCGGTTATCTGTATTTCGTTCAATACTCCCTTATCACGGATATACTTCGTGGGATCCTTGAAAAACTCCTTCAGCAAAACACTCCGATTGGTGGCCACAACGCCCCTGCCGCCCAATTCCATCGTAAGAAAATCGTTCAGCTTCTTTTCCTTGACGCGGACTCCTCCTTTAAACAGTGCTTCTTCGATCGTAGTGGAAATGGTAAATTTCATTTCTTGCGCTCGTCTTCGCCTTTCTTCTGTCTCACGCCTTAATCTTTCTTCCGCCTCACGTTTTTCTTCTGTCAGTACCTGAGTGAGAACTGCGTTTAGTTTTCCCTTTGCATGAGGAGTGACCGTATTCTTCCTTTTAAAGCCCCTCCATTGTCTGAGAGAGAACACACCCTCGTGATGAAGTTTATTGATAGCCTCCAATAGTATTTTCAGCTCTTGGTACTCTGTTAAATTAAAAATAATTCTAAGAAGCCGCTGGTTTTGTACGTAAGCATCCGGCTCCTGAAGAAACACCTGCATCGTCACGTTGTGGTCTTCACCAACGGCCGCCCTGCCGCCAACATAATTCCGAAGAAAATCATTCAGCTTCATGTCGGTGCTGAGAGTGTCTCCACCCAGCAGAATGTCCTCTACGCTGCTGCTCATAGTCCACTTTGGTTGCTGCGCCTCCACTCCTCTGCGAGTTGCAGCGTCGGAACCATCGCCGGGGATGCCGCTTCGAGGCGCCATCACAACACCCGTGCAGTGAAGCATCCCACTCGCACCGCCCAACTGCGGCCAGCAGATGCCGCTGGCTCCAAAGGACACTCGCGGCTGTTTCGTCCCGCTGTCCCAGTGGCGTTGGGCGTGGCACTCGCACGGCGGGGCTGTCGGTGCGCCATGCAGCCGCACTGCAACGCCTGTCGGTGAAACAGTCAAGGCCCACCGCCCCCGCAGCAACGCGACGTGCAACCGGCCACAACACCGCCACATTATCGTCCTTTTTTATTTTATTTTATTCACGTTGTCTGTCCGTTTGCCATACCACTAACACCAAAAATAGCTGCACAACTTCACAGAGGAAAGAATCTTCTGGGTCGCTGGCCG